CCTGTATGTTCCTGGTGCAACCTTTTTGTAGCCAGACTTTTTTAAGTGACTCGCTCTGTCAGAATTCACACAGCTGCTTCTACCAGGTTGCTCTGCAATGGTGGGGATGGGAACAAAAGCAAGGGAGCATTGTGCATCCTGTGTCTTTTTTCTCTCCAGAGGTTTTAATTGCAATAAGTACAGAACACTTAGGCTTAAAAGTTTGTTTTGTTTTGTTTTGTTTTCCCCATTGTTTTCATGAGTATTTTACTGTCGGGTGGGCCACAGAGAAATGATGGTCAGGTACCTGTATCTGAAAAATGTTTTGTCTGCAACTGATGAGCTATGAAATGCTGGAACCTTTTGCACTACCTCATGCTCCTGACTCTGTACCAAGCCTCAATATATGATAGCCTCTATGACCTTATTGCTCTCTCTGCTCCTTTGGTTTTCTCAGTAGTTGTGGTTTGCACCATGTGCCCACCACCTAAAGTCAAATCTTCTCCTGTCTCCTTATATTAGGACCCTCTTCTTACCCCACTTCCTTCTCTCTGGCAACCACCACACTGCTTTTTGTGTTTATGAATTTCAGTTTTATATTGCACATATGGGCTTTTTCTGACTGTCTTATTTCATTTAGCATAATATTCTCAAGGTCCATCCATGTTGTTGCAAATGGTGCTATTTAATTCTTTCTTATGGATGTGTAGTAACCCATTATGTATATGTATTATTACATCTTCTTTATCCAGTCCTCTATTATGGGATATACATAGTTCTCTCTTTTCCGCATCCAGCACAGCTAGAGAGCGATCCAGTTCCTGAGTAGGGGCTGCTGAGGATTGAGAAATTGAAAGAAAGAGACACAGAGATAGAATGAAAAAGCTGGAGCTGGGTGGGACAGCTGTCCTCTGATGGACAGCTCATTACCCAGAGCTGATACAGTGTGTTTATTTTATACAGCAAAATGCCAGAAAGTTTTACTAAAGCCCAAGACAAAGGAGATTATGTGCATTCTGTGGCTTCTTTGTAATCATCACTTCTGGGTAGGCCCAGATAATCGTGTTTGTTCCTAGTGCTTGGCTGGATTTAGATAATGAAACCCACCACCTGGCACCTGAGCTGAAGGTCAGGCTAATAACACACCTGCCTCTGGCAAGGTGTGTTTCCAGGACATGTCTCTGTCAACACCACTGGATTCAGCTGACAATAATTAAAGAAATTCTTATGTGACTTTCCAGGTGCTCTCTACAATGGAGCACTGCTTATTTCTAGTCTTGGCCACTGAAAACAATTCTGCAAAGAACATAGAGTGCATATGTCTTTGAAAATACATGATTTATAGTTTTTGATTTTTTTTAGGTATACACCCAGTAGTTGGATTGCTAGATCATATGGTAGCTCTATTATTAATATTTTTGAGGAATTGAAAGACCGCTTTCCATAGTTATTACACCAGTCTATATTCCCAATAGTAATGAATAAGGGTTCCCTTTTTTCCCACAACCTCTACAACACTTGTTATTTCCATCCTTTATTTTCAATCCATTTGCATTTTTAAATCCTAAATATACATGGCATATAATTTATGTTCTTTTATTTCTATTTATTTATTTATATTATTATTATTTTTTAAAATTTCCTTATTGATTATGGTATCACATAATTGTCCTCATCCCCCCATTCCCATCCCAAACTCCTCCCGATGTATGCCCACCCCCTGTTGTCCATGATCACTGATTAGGCTTATATGCATGCACACAAGTCCTTTGGTTGATCTCTCCCTTTTGCCCCCACTCTCTCCTACCTTCCCTCTGAGGTTTGTCAGTCTGATCACTGCTTCTCTGTCTCCAGGTCTGTTTCTGTTTATCAATTTATTTAAAAATATATATTTTATTGATTTTACACAGAGAGGAATTAAGAGAGATAGAGAGTTAGAAACGTCAATGAGAGTCATCAACCAGTTGTCTCTTGCACACACCCCCACTGGGTATGTGCCCGCAACCAAGGTACGTGCCCTTGACCGGAATCGAACCTGGGACCTTTCAGTCCACAGGCCGACGCTCTATCCACTGAGCCAAACCGGTTTTGGCTGTTTATCAATTTATGTTGCTCATTATTTCCCCTAGATGTGTTACATCATGTGATATAAGGAATTCCCTTATAAGGACCAAAACTGAAACAAGGCATAATGGTTGTGCTGAGAGGCAAATGAATCAATCTGTAGTGAGTTCCTTTCTGGGCCAATAGTTCTCTGGAGTCCCAATTTCAATGTCAAGCAGTTCCTTATGTGTCAGCCATAGTATTTCAGATCTGGTTGGTTGACAAATGGTGTTGATGTAGGTCCGACAGTCTCTGGTTTAGTGCTGGGCATCCTTCAGCGATGCACAGCTGCTGTCTGCTAGTATAGTAAGGCATTCTCAGCATCTGCCATCTCTGGACTGATTCTCTTTTGTCTTCATGGCTGGGGCACTCCTGTCAATTCCTCTGTTGTAGGAATCCACATGGTCTTGGAGTTGTTTTCTGAAAATATACAAACATATTCTCAACCAAAAGTTAATAAAAGGATATTTTCTATAAATTTGACTTGGCAGTTCATCTCATGGTAAAATTGCATAACATGTAATGAACTTAAAGCAGTCATATTTTAGAGCAAATAATTAAAATGTAAAAGCTGCTAAAACCGGTTTGGCTCAGTGGTAGAGCGTTGGTCTGCGGACTGAAAGGTCCCAGATTCCGATCAAGGGCATGTACCTTGGTTGCGGGCACATCCCCGGTAGGGGGTGTGCAAGAGGCAGCTGATTGATGTTTCTCTCTCATCGACGTTTCTAACTCTCTCTCCCTCTCCCTTCCTCTCTGTAAAAAATCAATAAAAATATATAAAAAATGTAAAAGCTATTAAGACTATATTATAAAACGTCCAAAAGCCTCCTAATATTTAAATTAAAAAAGGGGGTGATAGTGGGAAAATATCATGTAAGGAAAAATATCCTGCAAGTAAATTACTTCTAAAAAATTTGTACTTTAGAAAATTAACTTTCATCTAAAATACTAATTGAAAGATACCCATGAAAAACATACATGGTTTCAAAACAGAGGAAAATCATTTGGGGGGAAAAAATAATAATTTATGTTCTCTTAATTATTTTCCCAGTCTCTGTTTTTAAATTTAATAATTTAATCTATTTACATTTAATGTAAATGCTAATAAGGTAAGATTTGTTTGAAATTAGTTAATTTTTATATCTTGTCTTTATTATTCCTCTATTTTTTTTCTTTATTGCTGTCTTTGGTGTTAAATATATATTTTCTAGTGTACCTTGCAATTTCCTTTTTGTTTCTCATACCATATATTTTTAGTTATTTTCTTGGTGGCTGCCCTAAGGACTACTATTAATTATTAATTTACTTTAATCTATTTTGGATTATACCAATTTAATTTCAATAATTTATAAAGTTTGTGTTTCTGTATAGCTATAGTCTTCCTCTTCTTATGCTATTATTGTAACAAATTACATTAAACGGGCAGTCGGACATCCCTCACACAATCCAGGACTCTGGCTACCAACTGCTTGCCTGCCTGCCTTCCTGATTGCCCCTCACTGCTTCTGTCTGCCAGCCTGATCACCCCCTAACCACTCCCCTGCCAGCCTGATTGATGCCTAACTGCTCCCCTGCCAGCCTATTTGCCTTTAACTGTCCTCCTCTGCAGGCCTGATCACCCCTAACTGCCCTCCTTTGCAGGTCTGGTCACCCCTAACTGTTTATGTCTTCCTCTATCTCCTTTTTTTCAGTGTCCTATAGTTTTCCACGTATAGGTCTTTTACTTCCTTAGTTAAGTTTATTCCTAAATATCTTAATTTTTTTTTGGTGCAATGGTAAATGGGATTGCTTTTTTAGTCTCTCTTTTTGTAAGTTCATTATTGATGTATTGAAATGCCATATGTTTCTTGGTGTTAATTTTGTATCCTGCTACATTGCCGAATTCATTTATTAAGTCTAATAATATTTTGATGGAGTCTTTAAGGTTTCCTATGTACAGTATCATGTCATCTGTGAATAAGGACAGTTTTCCTTTTTTTCCAATTTGGATGTCTTTTATTTCTTCTTCTTGTCTTATCACAATGGCTAGTACTTCCAGTACTATGTTGAACAGGAGTGATGAGAGTGTGCATCCCTCTCTTGTTCCTGTTCTTAGGAGAAATGGTTTTAGTTTTTGTCCATTGAGTATGATGTTGGCGGTGGGTTTGTCATATATGGCTTTTATTATGTTGAGTTATGTTGCGTAAGCCTTTTGAATCAGGTCTTTCAGGAAAGTGAAACACAAGTCAAATAACAACAATTTTATTTGGAATTAAATGTTATGTTTACTTCAGCACCTAAAATTGGGTTTAATTTCAAGGCTAGTACTGGACTGTTGTGAGGTAATGTGGCTGGATTAAGTTAGAATACCATGAACTGTGCAAGTTTTTATAAAGACTGGGGTATTTTTCTTCCATAAATGCTCCCTAGGTTGATGCAAACCATTGGTTAATATCTCAAATTCTGAAAAAATAAGATGATAAAAAATTGTGTTATTTTATTGTTTTTGTGAATAGGTGAATAGTCAAAAGTCATTACTCTACTATTTCCACTGATATCACCCAGAGCTACCTTCTTTGTGATATTTCCTAAATTTCTCTCAAGAGAATTAACAGCAAAATGTTTGTTCAAAGTGAGTAAAAAATGTTTTTCCATACAAGTTGAAAGACACTATGGACTCTACCTATACTTTTTTTGTGTGTGTGTGTGTGTGTGTGTGTGTGTCTATGAACTTGGGGTTAATAATTCTGCCTTAGAATGATTTTAAGTGTAAACAGGTAACATACAACTTTCCATCATCATTAGAGAAGTATTAAGACAGGTCCAAGTATTAATATAACTGACCTTTACTTAAATCCCAATTTTCCTAGGTCATTAAACTGTTAACTCAAGACTATCAGGAACGTTGACTGAGGCCCCCCCCCCCTTTTTTTTTGCAGACTCCTCAAAGCCAAACAAAACCATGACTGAGGCACCTACAACCATGCAATTCTCTTCAGAAAGTAAGTTTTAATACGGTTATTTTGCACTAATAGAGATCTGAAATAGTGTCATGATCGCCAAGGGACAAGGCCCTGTGCCATTAGACGGGCTAATAAGATGTCACTGGGTAATAATGTAATTGAAATAAAGGAAAGATAGGAAGAGAACAAGGTAATAATGTAATTTAAATAAAAATAAGAAGAATTTAAGGATTCTAAAGAAGTGGAACCATGGATATATATATATATATATATATATATATATATATATATATATATATATATATATATGTTTGTGAAAACTCTTGAAGCAAAAAGAAGAGAGTTAGAATAATATCAAGAGAAAAAGGAAAACTGATTACTTCTATTCTACTCCTAATCTCACTTGCTGTGTGATTTTGAATAAGTTGCTTTTTCTCTTTGGGCCTTCTTCCCACTACCAACAGTAATAAACTAAGGTAATTCACCTCATAGTACTAGTGGTCAATGATATGGTCAGAAATTCTGGAAAGTTCAGCACTGATGTCCAGAGAAGAATCCCAAACTTGGCAGTTGGTCTCTACATCCAAGCTCCTGGTCAGAAGAAGGCCCTCTTACCCTAATGCCCTGTTGTCATAGTAATGCCCACAGTGAACTCATCCTGGAGCTGGACCACTGAAGTGCATCACCACCTTGGGGAGAGCAATGCTGGACCAAGTAAGAGCAATGTCACAACTTCTACCTTTCCTTTTTGGCTTTAAACTTTGCAACTAACATTTTTCACAATATACATTATTCTATGTCATTCAACTCTGCTACCAATGCTTTGGTTCAGATAATGATTGAAGACCCTAGAGATGAGGAAGGTAGGTTGAATGAAGAGGGTGAGAGTTATATCCAGAGATGAACAGTCAGATGGGGTTAAGGAAATTGGTAGATGAGTTATTAGCTGATTCATTTTTAATATACTTAACAAAAATTTTAATCAAGAATAGAAATGGATCCATGACCTCAGCCAGATCTTCTAGAGATGAGCATTGAGTCGGATAAAGGTAATGGGAGCTTTTCACCAGGGTTCACTAAGCAGCTTGCAAATGACTTTTGATTCCTCCTAAGTTTCAAGAATCTCTGAATCGTGATTTCAGAGATCCAAATCCCAATGAGAAACTCTTTTGTGTTTCGCCTGGAGATTATAGTGAGTTCTTGTGCATAGTATGACTTAATTGATTGTTAAAATAATAAAATAATTTTATACTAATTAATGATTTGTTGCTCCCTTTAATACTGAGCTTCCCATTATCACCTGGGATGCCCTACTCTGTTTCTCAGAACTCTCCAGACCACCTCAGAGTTCTTCAACAAAAATGTTGATGCCTAGTATTGCAGGGGACTTCTAAAACTTTAGTTCTATAGTAAGCATCTGTTTTTATTGATTGGTGCTAAATAGTTTGATGATTATTATTCCTGACATCATCCTCTGGCTGCCTATAATTGATGGTGGACTTTTTAATACTCCTGTACTTTTTCACTCCTGGTTGCAGAGTTTCTTAGATGTCTCTGGACATAGCCCAAACCTGTTTGTTTAAAAATATTTTATTAATTTTTTACAGAGAGGAAATGAGAGAGATAGAGAGTTAGAAACATAGATGAGAGAGAAACATCTATCAGCTGCCTCCTACACACCCCCTACTGGGGATATGCCCGCAACCAAGGTACATGTCCTTGACCAGAATCGAATCTAGATTCAGAATATTGTAGCTGCAGTATACTAGACATCATCCAATCTTTTCATTGAAATTATAGGGAAATCAAGACCTAGCAATAATTTTACTAAACTCACTATATTTACTTTTCTATGACTGCTGTAAAAATTACCCCAAAATTGGTGCTTTAAAATAATACAAATATATTATCCTACAATTATGGAGAGCAGAAGTTTGATACAGTTAGCTAAACTTAAGATGTCAGTAGAGCTGTGTTCTTTCTGGAGACTTTGGGGGAGAATCAGTTTCTTTGCCTTGTCCAGCTTCTAAAGGCTACCCATATTCTTTGGCTTTTGGTTCCCTCACACCATTTTCAAAACCAGCAATGTTGCTTCCTTAAATTTCTCTGACTCTTATTTTACTTTCACTTTTATAAAACCCTTGTGATTACATTTAGCCCACATAGATAATTCAAGATTATATTTTCATCTTTTTTAAAAATATATTTTATTGATTTTTTACGAGAGGAAGGGAGAGAGATAGAGAGCTAGAAACATCCATGAGAAAGAAACACCGACCAGCTGCCTCTTGCACACCCCCTACCGGGGTTGTGCCCGCAACCAACGTACATGCCCCTGACCGGAATCAAACCTGGGACCTTTTAGTCCGCAGACCGACGCTCTACTACTGAGCCAAACCGGTTTCGGCTATATTTTCATCTTAATAACAACTAATTAGCAACCTTAAATCAATCTGCAACCTTAACTCCCCCTTACAACATAAACTAACATATTGATTCTGGGGATTTGGATGTGAACATCTTTGGAGGATCAATATTTCTTATTACCACCATCAATACAGCAAATAAGTAACAGATCCAGAACCTAAAGCCAAATCTATTTGTTTCCTTCAGTGAGTATACATGATTGGAATAGGTAACCCAGGGGACTCAGTGGAAATATGTGTGAGGAAAAAGAAACCTGAATTCTTGGCCAGAGAGTGAAAAAAAATTTTTTTTGTGGTCAGAATTAAATGACAAGAATCTCAATAAGGTAGCATTTTTTGTGAAGCTGGTAAGTCAGTATACTACTTTCTCCTCTTTAAGAGGAGGTGAAAACCTCATGTCTTGACCAAATGGAAAACATGGCTCAGACCTATCAAGCCATCAATCAGTGGGTTTTGAAGAACTTGTTTATACTTGGGTTATCTAGCCTCTCAAGTCTTTGTCATGGGCCTGGGATTTTGTTTGTCTTTATGACTAGCTAAGAAATTTAGAAGATGGAAAATGGAAAATAAATAGGTGTGGGCTGATTATTTTGGTCTCTGTTTCTGTACAAATTTTTAACGAGATACCACTTGATCTTATTTTGCCTTCTAGGAGAGGGCCTGCCTATCTTTGCCATAATTCTCATCATTGTCCTGTGCTGTATAGTTGTCTTCATCATGACTTATATAATGCTCTTCCGGAAGACATCCCAGCAAGGTGAGTGATGTGTATGACTCGGTGACTCTTAGTCATTCATTCATTTTGGCAGTATAGTTGAGTTTAAATTCTGGCACTATGTTAGGCACCTCAAAGAGTTTCCAGCCTGTTTTAAGAGTGAGGGTAGAGGTAAATAAAGTCAGACATGCAAGCTAACAGTAATAATACAACTTACAAAAACTAATTTACAAATCTTTGGTATCCTGGCTAATACAGCTTTCTCTGAAATGGGTTGTCTAATGATGATAAAAGAGAAGGAGAAGTCACAATCTTTGGCCTCACCTTGCTTACAATTTATCTAGGGGATTTAATATAGAAGCATGGAGTTTATCAATAATGATACATAGCAATAAAAGTCATGGAGTCAAAGCCTGGAGTTCAATACAATAAAAGAGCTTACTTACAAGTGACAATGAATTATTTTATCCCTTTTGTCTTTACTTCATTAAAGTTCTTTGTTTTAGAACATAAATTCAAGGTTACAATTACCTTGAGAAATCATCAATATTACAGTTAGGTTGAGTTTTACACAGTACCAAAACAACCAATTGAAATGTAAAGAGATGAAGTCTAATAATTTGGCAAAATATTTCACTGGATTGACTATATTAATTTTGTCTGGAATATTGCATAAAATATTTTAAATTATCACTTTAATAGTATAAAGGCAGCATGTTTTTAAAAGATCCGAGTTAACACAAAGTGCACAAATAAAGAAAAAAGCTAAAGATTATAATTAATTGATAATCATATCACCCCTTTGCTTTAAAATATTTGGTGTCTTTTAGTGCATTTGCAAGGCCTAGAGAAGAAAGTCCAAATTCCTTAACCTGTCACTAACTTTCCCTTTTCCCTGTATTTTCCCATTGCTTAGATACATACATTTTCTTTTTTTAAAATTTCTTTATTGATTAAAGTATCACATAATTGTCCCCCCCCATTCCCATCCCAAATTCCACCCCATGTATGCCCACCCCCAGTTGTCCATGTCCATTGGCTAGGCTTATATGCATGTATACAAATCCTTTGGCTGATCTCTCCTCCTTTCCCCCACCCTGCCCTACCTTCCCTCTGAGGTTTAATAATCTGATAGATGCTTCCCTGTCTCTGGTTCTGTTTTTGTTAATCAGTTTGTGCCGTTCATTATTTCCCCTAGATGAATGAGATCATGTGATACAAGAAATACACTTACAAGACCTGAAAATGAGACAAGCCATAACGATTATGCTGAGAGGCAAATGAATGAGTCTGTAGTGAGCTTATTTCTGGGACAACAGTTCTTTTGAGTCCCACCTCACTAAGTTATTTTTAAGCCTTTATACCTTTACTCATATAGTTCCTTCTTCCTGAAATACTACCCCTTTCCAAATTTTTTACATTCTGCAAGGCCTGGCTGTAGTACCACCTTCTTCTGAAAGACCCTGCTAATTAACCATAACTGGCCACAAATCCCAGGTGACATGATTAAGGTGCAGTTGTCAGGGGAATTTTACAACTGTGAGCCAACAGAGATGGGAAAAGATTATTTAGATGTTAATTTATAAGTACAATTTAGCTACACCTCAATACCTGCTGCACTAGCGGTTTTACCTTCCATTAGTGTGTCTATTTCACTGTAGCAGTTCCAAATCCCAAATAGCCTGGTTTCCACCTGGTTCTCTCCAATCAAAGAAGGGAAGGGAGCTTTGAATATCTCCATTTTCTGAATATTAAGTATCAGCTTTGGTCTTGGCCAGTTAGCACGGCTATAAACCATGAGACTAAATTTGGAAGTGGAGATATCTCAAGTGGCCACAAATCCCAGGAGTACTGAAAGTAAAATATTAATTCATAGTCTCAATGAGACTGGTTAGAAACTATAACCATATCAGATATTTTCCCTTACAAAAACCTTGTGGCCCAGGGAATAGAAGTCAAAATGTAGCATTTCATTAAAAAGTCTTCTGTAATATAACTGTAGCTCACCTTCTCTATTCCCACCACTCCCTTACACCAAGGTTAACTTCCAGTCACTGAATTCAAACAGCAACTAGGCTATACACTTCACACATTTATGCATTTTTCCCTTCCTGGATTGCCTTTCCCAAATCCCTGATTTTTACCTCTTTATAAGGGAGATGATCTTGGGGTATCCATTAGATTCAACATGTAGTTACTGGGTACCTAATATGTGCCAGGTGCTGAGCATATAAAAATGCAATAGACACAATTTCTGAAGTAAAGAAAGCTATCTGGCCAATAGAGGAGGTAAGGCATGGAAATACAAGGCTCTATCAAATGACAAAAGGCGGTCTTCAGCATGCCACTCTAAATTTGTTGTGATGTAATACATGCATTCCAGATTGCATCCCTGAAAGATTATATGCCCCTAGAGGACAGTACCAAGAGACATTCATCTTTGTACCAGGCTATAGAGCCTTTTAACCAGCATGGAATATAGATGTTCCTCCTAAGGGACAATAGTGACTTATCTCAGGACCCTTGCTGGGTGCAGGGTAAGGGTGAGTGTCTTTAGGAATGGCTTAAGTTAAGCCATGGTTCTTGACAACAGACTAATTCAGCCCCTTTTGTCTAGGCTCTGGTCAGGCTGACAAGTTTCCCGCAAGGACTCCCTAGGGATCTTCAGCAAGATTCCTGAGTGTGAAGTGAATTCAGTTCCAGTGTACCTCTCCCCATCACACTAAATAACTGCTCCAACCCAATGTCCTGTGTCAGAGTATGCCAAAGAGGACAGTTACCAATTGTGTTTCCTCTTCCTTTCCCTAAGAATTCTACATTCCTGTGTGTGTGTTTTTTAAATTAAATTTATTAAGATAATATTGGTTAATATGAACACATAGGTTTCAGATGTGGGTTTCTTTGTTACAAGATCCGTATATCACATCATGGGCCCACCACCCAAAGTCAGATCTTCTCCTGTCATCATATATTATAAACCCCTTCTCTCTGGCAACCACCACACTACTCTTTGTATTCATAAGTTTAAGTTTTATATACCACATATGAGTTAATATGGTTCTTAACTTTTTTGACTGACTTATTTCACTTAGCATAATGTTCTCAAGGTCCATCCATGTTGCTGCAAATATCGATAGTGCTATTTCATCCTTTCTTATGGCTGAGTAGTATTCCATTGTGTATATGTACCACATCTTTTTTATTCACTCCTCTATTGTAGGACACTGGTTGTTTCCATATGAACAACCAATAGATATATGAAAAGATGTTCAACTTCACTGGCAATTAGGGAAATGGAAATCAAAACTACACTGAGATACCACTTCACACTTGCTAGAGTGGCCATTTTCAACCAGAGAAGCAATAACAAGCATTGGAGAAGTTGTGGAAAAAGGAAACCCTCATCCACTGCTGGTGGGAATTAAACTGGTATAACCACTATGAAAAGCAGTCTGGTGATGCCTCAAAAAGTTGACAATAGAGCAACCATACAACCTAACAATCCCTCTCCTGGGTATATACCCTAAAAACTCAAAATCATGTATTCACAAAGATATATGCACTCCTATGTTCATTGCAGCATTAACATAGTGGCCAAGACATACATCCCTGTGTTACAACTCACCTTCCCCATACCTCCCAGTTATTGGAAAGCTGAACTTATTGAGGTCCTCCTCTATGTCTCCTCTTCCATCACCTTTTAACTGGTACTCAAGGTCTATACTTGGCCCTTATTTATAGTCCCTGGAGAATTCTGACCTGATTTATCCTTCTTTTCTAGAGCACGTCTATGAAGTGTCCAGGTAAGATAGCCTCTCCTCTTCTATCTTCTAACTCTTTCCTTACCCTCAATTATGTAGGTCACTGTTATAGCAGAAAGTGGGTTTGTCAAAGACACAATCCTAAGCCCAAAAGTCTTCAGAGTCAGGGCACAGAGTTTTCCCTTTCTGAAGCACCTCCTGATGCTCTGTTGTGACCCACCAAACACATAGGATAATTCAGGTCCACCAGCACTCTGTTCCCAGAATCTCTTGATGACAAGGATTAGGGCAGAAGGGTTGGAAACCAGGGTCCCAGCCTCAAGTTCTTTCTTATGGGTTGTGGGCTCTTGGGCCATAGGGTGCGTGCCAGGGAGACCAGCAACTCTGGCGAAACCATGAGGTTGGCCATCTGCGAAAGTGGCCTCTCCAGCGAAGAGCCAGCTACCCGGACTCCAGGCAATGACTACTCTGATGAACCCTGTCTGGACCAGGAGTACCAGATCATCGCCGAGATAAATGATGACTACACTCATCTGCTGCACACAGTTCCCCGGGATTATGAGCTCCTGACCATCAAGGGCAAGAGTGTCTGCTAAAACTGCCCTACTAGTTTGCTGACATGATTATCTTTTAACCCCTGCTTTCTGCATGGTCCCCTTATCTTCCTGGCTATCCCAGCATGTCTTATCTGCCAACATTCATATTTCTAAGTATGACTGGCTTTGCGTAAGCCCTAAGAAGTTGTCATGTGCACACATGCAATCCTGTTTCTGAGTTGGGCTCTGAGCCTTTCCAGTATCTCTGCCTGGGGCTTTTGCTGCTTCTCTCCAAGCACCAGAGGGAAGTTCCCATAGCACTAAGACACCAATTAACTTTGGCCTCTTGTCACTGTAAGACCAGAGAGAGGCTCAGCTCTGCCAGCTCAGGAGATCAGTTATGTTCATAATCACTTATTTTTCCCCCAGGCCATAATTGTTTTTAATTGTGATTGTCATATAACATGCCAGGGTTCAGTTCTGCTCTTACGCTGCAAGTCTATTACTCTGATATTCTTTTGGTGCTTAATAAATATCTAATCATAATAACAACCTTAGTTGTATTGGTCTTCTTTCAAGGACCTACTGAGAATGATTAAAATGAGACCAGTTGATATGGTTGGGGCTCTGAGAGCCCCAATAGTACCTTTTGTTTTTATTTTCTTCCTTCCCATTCATGCCACTCTTATCAGACTTCAGAGGTGGTCCCAGCTAGAACACAATAATTCTTTGGTAAAATAGTACTCATCTGCCTTCCATTATCCCCTTCCCAATTGTCCTGCCAGTTTCATCTGGATGACTCTTCCCATGTCAATTAAAAACCTGAAAAAAGGAGTCCCCTCCCCCTTCCTTTTTTTTTTGCATACAGCAGACCTTTTTTTAATGCTAAATGGGAAGTATAGATAGGTTGAGGGAGGAATATATTACCTACTTGAGTAACCCAGTTAGTTAAAAGAGAAGATTAAATCACTCAGCCAGGTTGGTTTTTAGGAAAATCCCATTGGCCACCATTCTCCATAGTCTCCAAGCTTCTCACCATATTGTATAGTCTTGCCCATCTTCTCCTCAGGCTGGCCCCTCCCCATCTCTTCAGTTTTCATTCAGAGAACAGGCTAGCATGCAGTATTTGGTTTTGTGCTGCCTCCTCACAGATGGGGTTCTCAAAGCACTTCTTAACTCACCCTTCCCTTATTCCTTGATCTAACAAGTAACACGTTCTGCCAAGATGTTTCAAAAGGAACTTTATTCTATGAACATAGAGATAAAGGGTTATCCTTCTTTCCAAAGTATGGATGCACCACTCTCAAGTTTTTCATCTCCTGTAATCCTAAAATTTTTTGAATAGTTGTGTTCTTCAACCCTAGCTCCTGGTCCCTTCTTACAATGTGGAGTGAGGCTCAGAGCAAAGAAGTATTTCTCCTCAAATAGGAGTGGGGAATAAGAATGTGTGTGTGTGTGCGTGTGTGTGTGTGTGTGTGTGTGTGTGTGTGTGTACTTGTGCGCACATGCATACCTTTAAATCAGTCTCCTCTGGACAGCATGGGGGGATCTGGAGATTATTATGCTAAGCAAAGCAAGCCAATCAGAGAAGACAAGTATCACATGATCTCACTTATATGTGGAATCTAATGAACAAAATAAACTGATGAATGAAATAGATTCCAAGACATGGAAGCATGAAATAGTCTGAGGATCCTCAGAGGAAAAGGGCAGGGGGGGAGATCAATGAAAGAACTTATATGCATGTATGCATAACCAATAGACACAGACAATAGTTGGGTGAAGGCCTGGTAGGGGCTGGAGTAGGGTAGAAGGGGCCAAAATGGGGAAAAGAGGGGACATCTGTACAACTTTCAACAATAAAGATAATTTTTAAAAAATTTCAGTCTCCTCTGTGAGGACCTGCTCTGGGACAGGTCAATACTGCTTTCCCTCTCTCATGTAATTCATGTTAAATCAACTTATCCATTATCCATGGAACCTGACATGTTGCCACTTGTTTCCAATGCAATGTCAAGGTCAGCTCAGGTTTCAACAGGAGTTCTCCTTTGGGATGAGTATAGAAGTCAAAATAGTACACAAAAGTGAACAAGGAGAAGTCCTCCACTTTACCACCACTAACCTGCCAAGTCCATGGTAAAAACTTGAGCGTTTTTGTCATCTCCAGATGCTCATGAAAGGAGCAACCTTTTCTTCCACATCATGTTTACAATCCTCTGAAACACCCCCCCACCCCAGTGGAAACCTCAGCTTCCTTCGTTAAACATCTCTGTGTCCAGACCCTCACAGCTTTTGAAAACAGTCATTATTTATTGCTACTATCTTTAGAGAAATGAATTACTGAGGTTGAGAAGAGAATCTTTGTTGCATGTGCCATGGTAAAAGGAGCCCCAGATCCAGGCACCACTCCCTCCAATGCACCCCCAAGGATATCTCAGAGTCTCTTGTATTGGAGAGCTTAAAGATGATTGATTCTAAGTTTCCCATAATACAGATAAGAAAATGAAGTCCAAAAAGAAAGTGACTTGTCTAAAGTCAAACACATCAAGTCAGTCGTAGAACAGAGAGCAGATTCAGGTCTGTGAACTGCTAGGAGAATATATTCATTGTAGTAGAGAAACTTCTGGAGATCATCTGTGCTCCCAAACTGAACATTCTTCTCCACAGCCAGTAAAAGAGTCTTTGATATAGGGCTACCCCAAAGCTGCGAGATAAGGCTAAACATAAATGGGATGATAACATAGGATCTATCTTAGGTAGATGGCTGGTCATGGGAAAGCAGAGAAGTAAAAAGAGGAGATCTCCTGAAGAGAGGGAAAGTACAAAGTTCTTCTAGGGCAGATTCCCAGGTTTTGTTCCATGGGATAGAATAGTAGACCCAGGAGATGGTCCACAGGCAAAACAAAAACAAACAAACAAACAAACAAACAAAAATCAGCACAATCAGGTATGGGAAATGCTTCATTCTATAGCTCCCTCTTGGAAATTTCCAGTGCAATATTAGAATATTAAAGGCTTTATAATATCCTGAAACAAGTCACCTGTATAACTTTGTGTTACCAACTAATTGAAAGACATGTTTGCCCTCTAAACCAACTTTTAAAAAATATACTCCTGTAGCCCTTGACCCAATATATCAGAAAGAAACCCCATTTATGTTAGCTATACCTTGCATGTCCTATAGCATTGTGGTGACAACACTTGGATTTTTCTCTTCACAAAATGCCTAGGTGGCATGTGTTCCAAAGGCCAAAAGCTAATGAACTAGTGGAAAATCGATCAATCAGTAAAACTTTATTGAGTATTTTCTGTAACCAGAGTCCTGTGGGGTAGAAATGGAATGGAGATACAGCAATCAAGGAAATACAGTCTTGTCATAAACCAAGTGGGGGGATTCAAAAATTTATTCTGAAAAAGATCATTAATGATTTAAGCAGTGTTATTGGGAAGTAGGAGATAAAGGGGTTCATAGAAGGACTCAGGCAAGAAGTGATTTGAGAATGAAGGGAAAAAGTATAGGTTTATTTTTCAAAAGTCCCTGCAGAAACTTGATTTTGCCTGGGCAAGGAAATATGGAAAGGAATTGAATAAGCAGAAAGAAATGGGGATCATGTTCTCGGGAGAAAAAGCCCGAGGAAAAGGAGAGAGATAGGTAAGGTCAAAGTGCATTTAGAGCTAAGACTGACTATCAGATAAATGGGCTTCTAAGTCCTGCCATGATAGTTGTGTGAGACTTCTGGTTTTCTTGCTGGGATGTGAAGGGAAAAAATAATGAATCAAGTACCACTTTCATCCCTGGACCCTGGATACCTTTTCAAGGCTACCCTGCCACCCTCCCCCCTTCAGGTTCCCACAATGTATGTAGACACCACCCAGGCCTGTGACTCTCAGAGCTGTCTGACTTTTCCACTGGTAACCTCAGACACAATGCTTAAAGTCTCACAAAGGTACCTAAACCAACTTGTGAGAGCTTAATTGGTATTTGTTGTGTGTTCTTTATCCCACTGATCATCTAATTGTTGTACTCCAACTTCGCTGGCTTGGAGTTGCTAGGCACATGCCGCACTTGGGGTATTTGACAAACTGACACTCTACCACATGGAGTGTCCAACTCAGCTTGTCAAATACACGGAGCGTGGCACTGCAGGAAGCTGGGCCAGGGACTTCAGTGGGGAGGCGAAATCTTCTTTGGAGATGTAGTCCTAGATGGAGAGAGAGAGAGAGAGAGAGAAAAGTCACACCCTGGCCTCCAGGAAAACTCTATGGACTAGCCAAAGCACCAGAATAAAGGAAGTGAGCAAAATAGTCATAAGGCTCCTAATCAAAAGAGGATTTCCGAAGGTAGGTAGGCAGCACCCAGTTGAGACTTCAGGTGAGGCCCCAGTGCTCAGCTGGGGATTCCTCAGGCCAAAGTCTTATAACTACAGCATTTTAAAGGTCCCAAGCTTTAGTGGGATCCTCTATGTAGCATAGAGAGAACAATTTCATTATCATCCTACCTTCCTAACCTCAAGAAGGGACCAGGACCCTTTCCTTCACAAACTTCCCAGATAATGTTTTACAATATTGTGGATATAAACTTAAGCATTGAGGCTGAACATAGGCTTAAATCTTGGCTCTGCCATTAATTAGCTGAAAAACTTTAGTAAATTATTTCATCTCTTTTTGTTCCATTTTTTCCACATCCCAAAAAATCAATATAAATATAGTATGTACCTAATAAATTATAGAGAGAATGAAATGAGATAATGTACATAAAGTTCTTAGCTCATTGTCTGATACACAATAAATGCTCAAAGACAATAGTGGTTGTGCTGCCAGAAGGAAATCAAGGGCTAGTGACAATTGATTTAATAGGGTCAAGACAAATGAAACAGACATTTCTGATAACCTCAGCCTTACCTAATAATATGCCCTTGTACCATTGGTACTCAAAAATGGCAGCTATAAAAGAACTAGCATCTAGTCTCAGCTACTCTTGTTATAAATGAGGAAATGAAGGCTCGTGTTGGGGTAGAAAGTTGCTAAAGGTCATACAGGTTGCTCACAGTTTGGAGTTGTGTCATATATTAATCCATTGTGCCTTCCTACATTCTTCATCAATCCTCTTACCTCTTTGCTATACTTATCTCTCAGGGGAAAGGGAGATACATCATCAAGGAAGCCAAGTGACAGGCAGTGGTCTTGGCAGTAAGGCATTGGAATCTTTCAATCCACAGCCATCGGGGAAACAAGGAAGCTGCCAGGAGCATTGTCAAGCCTGGAATTTCTGAGAGAATTCCCTTGGCAACACTTAATCCTGTTGTTAAATATTCCAAGATGTTTGTGTCAAATTTATCTCTTTCCCAGCAATGGCAGTTTATCTATTGGCCTATATTGAATATTGTCATGAAAAATGGCACAATAGAAAACTGCCCCATGAGGCCAAGGCAGAAAACTTGTCTTTCAGCGGGGTGGGGGGGAGGAATCAGTGTTTTTATTATTATAACTCTTAATTGAATGCATGTTGGTAAGGGGATGACATGCCCCTATAATTTAAGATCTTGGAAGTGATTTCAAACCTCAAAATTTTAAATGTATTTCTCATTCCTTCATTTTTCTCTCTACCAACCCAATCCATCCCAAGCCATCCAGAAATGTATCCAAAGCAAAATCATTGTCAACAGATATGGCAGAGTGAAAAGAGTCAGGCAATCTTGGATTCTATCAATACCATAACTGGCTAGTTGGTGCTTTGGGCACCAACTAGCCAGTTATGGTATTGATAAAGTCTTTCTTGGGCCTCAGATTTATTCTCAGGAAATGGGGATAAGAAGACTTACCTGGCAGAGTTGTTAGGAAAGTTCAATGAGCTTTCCAGAGTCTCCTAAAAATTAGTCCACTTGGCTCAGTCCTTGGACCTATGAGTAGAGAAAGGCCAGCCAAGGAAGCTGACTAATAAAATTTGCATTCAGGATGGCAAAGGAGACACAGCTGGTGATTACATCTATCATCATCCTCATTGGCTACAGCTCAAGTAAGAAGACCTGGATAAACTGGAGGTGTCCAAAGCCTCCTGAACAGCTTTTCTGACTTTATCAAAAAGGAAAAGATATAAGGTAAAGATTCCTTCTTAGTACACTAGAAGTTGAGGAGTCTTAAAAACCATATTGCCCCCATATTAATGGAAGGGGTTGGTGGGTGAGTTGAAATTAGTATTATTTCCACTCTTGATTTTCTAGTGCATGCCTTTCCAATAGAGTGTATATAAGAAAAGTAGGTTCAGTTGAGAAAGGCTGGCCAGACTCATAGGGAGAAGAAGTGGAAATTTACATGAAACAATATTGAGAAATTTCAAAGGTCTTCTCTTGATTCATCATGCTACATAAAATGTCATCATTTGTCCACTGCTCTACTCTGGAAATGCTAACACACCAAGCAACAGGACCTTCCGTGAAACTGACTGATATGGGCCTTCTCATACTAGGAGCAATCTGGATTTCTTTCAGTCACAGTTCAGCCTCACCCAGAGATATTTACTCAGCATCACCTTCATGACCTTTCTCAACAGAGGACTTACAATCATCAAAATAAGAGGTATAAAAACTAAAAGTGTCTCTAGACAAAATCTAACTCATCCTTCCCTCTCCTCTTCTTTGCAGAAGAAGCAAAAAAATGAATTTATAATGGAGAAAGGACTTGCTTAAAACTACACAATGGGTAAATGGCACAACCAGGACTGTTACTCAAATATATTGACTCCCGATTCCAGAAAACATTTCACTTCCATGTGTTTATCTCCTAAATAGCATATATGGGGAGAACATATTATTCTCCCTTCTCAAATTTGAAGCTCCAGGATAGATGGCTAATGGTAACCTTCTTCTCCCCCACCCTTAACCCAAGATCCCTCAGGAAGGTTTAAGGAGAATGTGATGGGCAGGTCTAAGCAATCTTTGGTAGCCATGGACATAGCTCTAGCTTGGGAATCCAAACAAAGAGGGGAAAAAATGAATACTATACCTGTTACTGGAGTGGTGCTTTAGTCTCAGATGAGGCACAGGTTCCCTGGTGATGAACCAACCTGCAGTGGCCAAAGAGAACTGGGCTTTATGCTGTGAGCAGGAACATCATGTGTTTTGAAGAGCCCTTGGTGTCTTCAAGAGGAAACAGAAATGAGGAAGATAAGGCTGAGGTTAGCCAACGGAAATCTGGGTGCAAAATGACAAAACAGTGCTGTTGTGAAAGGGTCTGCTAGTGCAGCAATAATCCCCACCACCATGCCCCCACCAACTACCAGACAACTCCAAAAGATACTGGCTCTCTGAGCTGCAGAGGGTCAGAGCGAAAAGCTCCTGGCTGCCCCACCTCTGCCTATGGACCAAAGACATTCCCCAGAGCTACTGAGGGAATCCTGAAATTGAGAAATTGAGCCTATGAAGGATGAGAGAAAATGTCTGATAACAAAAAGAAAATTAGTGGCATAACTAGAATTTGAATCCACTTCTATCAACTCCAAATTGTGTGTTCTCTCACTCTCAGAATGCCTCCTAAACCCAAAATACCCTTTCTACTTCCCCTGGCTCAGCTGCATAATTGACAAAATTCAGTCCAAAATGAAAATGAGGGCTCCTTATTTAAAAAAAATGAATTTCAAAATGGCAATAGCAGAACATTAATCCAAATGTGGGTTCTTTCTAAGCATGGGGCTCTATGAAACATTATAGCTCCCATGCTTATGGAACTGGTCCTATTGGCACAGCTCTGACCACAGGTCATATTCTGGCATCCAAGAACCTTACAAAAGGAAATTTATATGTATTAAAGAGCTTTGTATGTGCTTTACATGTGTTATCCCATTTAATCAACAATTCTGTAGTATATTTTCATTATCCTTATTAATAGGTAAGAAAGATGAGGCATATAGAAGTAAAGAGACTTCCCTAAGGATAAAAAACTAGAAAATAATGTAGAAAAAAATCCACATGCAGGACTTTCTGGCTCCAAATGTTTGGCTTTTTCTACTCTCCCACATTGGCTATAAGGAGAGGGGAGAAAAGTAGTTGACCTTAAAAATGAAGAAATAGTGCCAAAACCTTAATTGTCAGACTTTATAAGAGACATAAAAGATATGATAAGGAAGCAAATTGCTTCCTAGCATCTTATTTTGCAATATTTTGGCAGTACCCATTCACGGTAAGGAAGGTGCTTAATTCCCATTATGCAGTGCTCTATGTCATGAATCCCGATGGCATGGCAGATGGGAAAAGCAATTACTGCAATGCTTTCAGGATATACTTGGGGTCACCTTCAATGATTGCAGTGCGCAAGTCCCAGTCATTAGTCTATATAGCCAGAGTAGGATCAGAGAAGTGTTCATGACCCAATTAATAATCTATTTACATATAGTCTTATAAATCCAGGTTCAAGAGAAAAGACCATATTCCATGAACCAAGAGTTCTGTGCCCCAGCTCCAGATCTGCTAACTGTGTTCCCTCTCTTAGCCATGGTTTTCCATTTAACCATCAGAAGTTGGACTAGATGATCTTGCTGACCTCTTCAATTCAAATATTCCCTGGTTTCTTTATGAAGTGCTCCATCCTTGCCCTTCCTCACAGTGAGCTTTCGTGTGAGGGCCTAAGGACTCTAAGGATAGCCTGGAATATGCATTTACTTGCACTCACACTACTTGGCAGTAACTTCCTTTTTTCAGAATAAAGTAGCGGCTTAGTCCTCATGACCTGTTTCCACAGATCTTGCATCTAGAAAGATTCAGTTCCTTTTCCTTTTTGGTTTCTGACTAAAGCTTGGGTGGAAGCAGAATTGCCTTGTGGGCACTTTCTTACAGAGGGATCCCTACTCCTTACACATAACATAGTGATTAAGTTTATCTACACACTTTTTCTTATTTTCTCATCTATTAATTAAGGTACTTTACTGTATGTTTTTTTTATAGGAGCCTCTGAAGACATTGTCTTCACCTAAAATAGTAATTAATAGTGGCCACTTTGGACCCCACAGTAGGACAATAAAAAAGAGCATTAGGAGCAATGAGGACCTACAAATCATGCCACCTATGCAGAAGACCTGAATTAGTGCAAAGGGCATTGAGTTCCTTGAAGTTCTTTACCTTACAACACAAAGCATGCTAGGAAGGGCCATGTGTGCAGCACAAGGATTTTCTTTTAGGTCTGTTGTCCATCCAAAATACAAGAAGTCTCCCATTTTGGGTGTTCTCTGAATTGGCTACACTTACAATGGGGGATTAATGAAAAAAATTGGATATGGGACTCAGGAAAGCAGTGCTGAGATCCCATACTGTAGATACATTCATTTATTAGCTCATTGCTAGAATGAAAAGAATGCTAAATTTTGAGTCAGAGACCCTATCTTAGAACCTAGGTTACAGTCTGTGGTTTATAGACCCGGTTCTGTAACTCGCTAAATTCTCTTCAAAAATTATGCACAGCCTTCTGAACCTTAGCCATCACATCATATTGAGGGATCATTGGGCTGGAGGGGAGGAGAAACACAAGTATGCACCCAAGGAACTATGACTATCTACAGTATGAGGCAAGTTATTTGCATAGGTATGAAGTGCTATAAAAAATCTGGGTAAGAAAGGTGTAACTCTTCCAGGGTAGAGAGCAGAAAGGTAGTGGTATTTAGAAAAGTTCTTAGAGAAGTGGATTTTAGCTAGATCTTTTAAAATGGAGAGAGAAAATAACTGCTCACTATCTCTGGAAAGCCTTCTCTGACCACCCCTTTCTCAGCAAAATTAGTTACTCCCTGCTTTGCCCACCTCAAGTACTAAAAATATTTCAACTCTGCAAACTTATGTGTCTGTTTCTCACAGGAGACCAAAAACTTCCCAAAGTAGGGACTGTGTCTGATCCTTTTCTTTTTTCACAGGGCCAAGAAAAAATAGTTGCTCCAGACTCTGAGTTGAATAAATGAATGTGTCAGTGCATAAGCAAATGAAGGAGAACTCCTTAGTTTAAGGTCTCCATATTCCTTAGCTTACTCCACCTCTGTGAAGGAACTTAGAAGGCCTACCTTCAACTCATGGTTCATCTTCCTGCTCACCTATCCCCACCTCCTATCAGAAGTTGGTAAAGAAAAGGCCCCAGGGACAATTGCAAAGCTGAGACCACTTCCTGTGCAAGAGGCTGATGTCCACATAGTCCATCTCAACTCTGGTTATTGCTGTTCATATGATTGCAATGGGGCTTCCTCTGAAATGAAAACCAAAGGCTGATGAAATGTATAGGGCACTCCCAGGCCCGGGTTGAAGAACTTCATGTACATCTGGGCCTGGGGACAAAGGGTTCACCATGAGGTTCCTCACAAACTCAGCGATATCACCAAAGTAGTTAGCAGCAAAAATAACTTTGTGCTTGGCAACAATGGGGAAAATAAGTATACAACAGAATAATAATATACATCTTATAGAAATGTAATAAGAGCAACATTAAATTTTTGAAAAACAAATAGATGAAAGTAATTTTGAGAACATAATATTTTATTTAACACAATGCATCTAAAATGTCAACTTAGCAATCTAAACATTTTTAATAAGAAATTTTACATACTTTGCAGTGTGGTGTGTATTTTATACTTACAATAAATCAAAATTTGGATTAGCCATGTTTCCAGTGTTCAATTGCCACATGTAGCTAGCTAATAGTTATGATATTGGACAGCACATGTATAAGATGTGACCCCTACCCTGGCCAGATGACTCAGTTGGTTGGAGCATCATCTCATACATCAAAAGGTTTCAGGTTCAATTCCTGGTCAGAGTACATACATAGGTTGCAGGTTCGATACCAAGTCAGGGTGTGTATGGGAAGCAACTGATCAATGTTTCTCTCTTATATCAATGTCTCTCTCTCTCTCTCTCTCTCTCTCTCTCTCTCTCTCTCTCTCTCCCACTCTATCTCTCTCTTCTCTCTCTCCCACTCTCTCTTTCTATTTCTCTAAAGTCAGCAAAAACATCCTCAGGTGAGGATAAAAAAATGTGATCTCTGCCCTCAAGGAATTTACAGCCTAGTCTAAAAGCCAGACTAATACTTATGCATGTACAAGAAATAAGTACTATAGTGAAACTGCATGTGTGGAAAAGAGCACTGTATCACAATCAGGAGACCTGGGCTACAGTCTTTTCTCTGCCACTGATTCTCTGAGTGACCTTGAATAAAACCCTTTATCTCCATGGGACTCCATATTTCTTTTTTTAAATTTATCTTTACTTTTGAAAGTATTACAGATGTCTCCCTTTATTTCCCCCCATTGATTCCCTCCACCCTGACCTTCCCCCTGCCCCAGGCCTTCACCGTACCATTGTCTCTCTCTCTCTCTCTCTCTCTCTCTCTCTCTCTCTCTCTATATATATATATATATATATATATATATATATATATATATATACACACACACACACACACACATACACACACACAAATAAGTTCTTTGGTTGATCTCTTCATACCCCCTACCATGTGAGTGAGATCATGTGATACTTGCTAAATTAAATAAGCCAGTCAGGGACTCCATATTTCCATCTCTACAGTGAGGTTGGAATAGATTTATTTTCTCAACAAATACATATTAAATGTTTTCTAAGTATTAAGCATAGTAGGAAGCACTCAGAATACTGAGATGAATAAGACACATAAGATGCCTGCCTTATTGACACTTAAAGCATGGTAAGAAATAGGTATTAATTCCAGGTAAATATTGCCAAAAAAATGGGGATGCACATAGACCTGGGAGAGCACATAACAATAAAACATAATCTACCAGGCCTGAATATGGTCAAGAAAACCTCTCAGAAAAAGTAACATTTGAAGTAAGATTAAAGAATGAGAAGGAGTGAACCGAGCAAATAATTGGTGAAAAGCCATTCCAGTCAGAAGAAACAGCAGATGTCAGGCTCCAAAATGAGAAGGAATGAGGCCTAGTTCAGGAAAATAAGGAGGTTAGTGTGGCCTGTAATAGACTGAGCTAAGGAAAGAATAACTCAAAGCAAAGTAGGAGTGGTAAACATTGGGAGGCTTTGTATGCTATATTGAGGGTTTGATACTTATCTAATAAGACAGAGAAGCCAGAGAAGGTATAATTATGCAGTTCCCTTCCATCTCTAAGACAAAGAGTTTTGGAGTCTATGCCATGGAAAGAAAAGCTAATTCCAACTGTTTGGACTAGAAATGTCA